TTGACTCGTGAGCGAATAGACGCGTAAAGCGGAGTAACTTGTCAAGTGAACAGCGTAAATTCGGCCCCAAAGACCATTTACCTTGTTCCATATTGGCGCAAATAATGAAACAATCTCTCCGAATTCGTGAGCTACTCGTTCAATCGTTGCAAGGAATTTATGCCGAATTTATAAGGATGACGTGGTTTCATTCCATCTGACTATTTATATGATACTGAAAACAATCCTCATTTTCTTGACTCTTATATTCAATCAGTGCCTCTCTATTAAAACCCCAAGAATTGGCCGCACACTGTATCGCATTCCATTCACTGATGACGCAATACGGAAATGAAAATACGTAGAGGATTCCAGCCTAGTTAGCTATTATCTAAAGAAAAAAAACAGGCTCGAGGAAACAGACATTAGAGTGCCGAAGATTGTGTTGAATAAAAACTTGATAAGTTTTCTAAACACCAGTCACTTTTCCCCAACTCGCCAAAAATTTCAAAATGGATGGAATTAAAAAAACAGACTAAAGAAGTACGAAAACCGGGTATAGTTGGTCGGTGCAACTCATATTGGGTTGAATTTTATCGATAGGTGTCAGTTACTTGGTTCACTGAACACAAAAACAATAACACCAACAACAAAAGAATCAGTTGCTCAGGGTGGCAACAACGAAGGAAACCATGTGGCGTCAAATCAGTATGTGAAAAGAAAGCAATACTGGCAGTCTGACAAAAAATAAGCTACTACAGATAAAACAAAAACAGGGAGGGAAATACATTCGATCAATGATTGACAGATTTACGATTGCGTGTGCACGCCGCTCAAAGTATGTGCACAATACGTCTACCGATTCACGGCAGTACTGAAACGAATCAGTGACAATGGGTGGTTAGCAGCGGTTCACAGTGGGCGACCTCGTGGCAGGTTCGGTACTCGAGGCATAGAAAAAAAGGAAATTCACTGCCAACGAAATGTTTTTACGTACAGACGATGCCATCCAATAGTATTTCCTTTGTCAAGGTTGTCGTGACTCTCACGAGAATTTCGGTTTCCACTTCATTTACACAAACAGGAATTGGTATCTTTTGCGCCCAATTTAGTAGATAGATGAACACACAATGAATTAAGCAGTACGTTTATTGTATACGGTAATTATGCAGCCGGTTCATAGATCAGGGAGAAAGCAGAAAAAGCAGCACGGGCGGGCAGGCCGAACCAGGCTCACACGCGCACTACATCCGAGTGCCGTCAAGTCGGCATTCAAAGTCAGCAAATCAATCAATTTATCTGACCACGGGCATGTATGACAAGTGTATCAAGTAGTTGAAGTCCACAACGGTATCAAACCACTAAGTGATTCAAGGTGAACGAGAAACTGAAATCCGATTGTACCTAATAATCCACATCACGACGAGACTGCACCTTGACGTGATGTGATGGCTTGTGCACCTCCCTGACTTAACGAGCTACACAGGATGACTTTTATCAAGCCGAAGATCTAATCATGTCCGCAAGGTCGAAGGGTAGACGTCGAACGAAGTCCAGTATTTCGGTCCTCCAGGTTGGGGGTTCCAATAGAAGTTGCGTTTCAATCGGTAAAAATTAGGAGAGGAGTAATTGATCCAAATAAATAGGCCTCCACTTCGCTTGGCCCGCTGTCTTGCGGACAGGCTCTTGTCAGAACTAAAGGCTTTGGCTGAGAACCCTAATCGTTCTCCTGCTTAGTGGCTAGACACCCTATCAGTCCCCGTCCATCAAGCCTCAATGCATATGCATTGCGAGTTTGGCAGCCTGTAACTGAAACGGCGGATACTAACTTTGTGGGCTGTAGAATCACCACGAACAAAAAAGAGTGACATTGCGGAGAGACCGCTATGCAACACGGTAGTTTGTATTCAGTTGTTTTTTGTCGGAGAATGAACCTGGATATTCAGACTGAACTCGAAGCATTGGTTCAAGTCTGAGTCATATTCTTGGGAGTTGAGGATCACCACAATTGTCCCCGATCGGGCAAATGTGAGCAACGTTCACGTTTTCTTGTTTATAGCTATATGTCAAGTAATGGACTAACCGCTGAAAGGCGATATAAACCACCCCTTGGGGTTATGAATAGTTAATGATGGGAAACGTGGCGAACAGGCATGTACAGTGAGTACCAAATTTAGATATTTGCAGTACAACAAATATTCAATGACCATAAATCGCAACAGCACTCGTAAACGGCGGCGGAAATTCCCCGAAACCGAGATGCTGGAAGATCATGAGTGCAGCAACTTGTCATCGAGAGGAATCAAATAGATTAAGTAGTATGTCTAGGAAAAGATCGTTCGCTCGAAATATAACAACCAATCAGATTCCGTGTTCTCCTGGTCGCTTAAATGTGTCGCGGTGAATTTGATTGGTCCAAAATACTGGTTCCTTATTGGCCACAAGGGAGATGTAACGCATGGTTCCCAGGCATGTGTTATTTCGTAGTGTTGGATGAGAACAATGATGTCGGTTGACGATGGATAGCGATATCCAAAACATATCCCCACACCTTACCATTACTCACATGGTTATTGACCCGGAAATTTCTCGGAAAAACAGCGATCCAGTTCTGAAAGCCGTCGAGCTTCCTCAACTTGTTAGAAGCTAAGTGTCGTAAACGTAGACCAAAACACTCCAAACTGTAACATTGTACACCCGTCTCTCCAATGGAAGAGACAAATTTCGTAGTGACATGAAGTCGGAAAACTATACTGTATATTCATCACGTGTAATGTCTTGTCTCCAATACATCACACCCAGTAGTCACTATACGCATAAGGCAAACAAAGATGGTGAGTAAATCTCATCAGGAATGAGAACTGAAGGAACAGATTCCTGTGGGTCCTAGAGAAGCACTTGACATGGAAGAGAAGAAAAACATACCAAGAAGAGGTTCCTACATGCAAAATACTTCCGAACAGTTCTCTCAGCAAAAGGTTTTCACCAAAATAGTCTCAACCGGCAATTCTTTTCTTTGTAACGAGCTCTATATCCTTCGATATGTGGCTTTAAAACGTTCTGTTGGAAAGCCTTTATAAAAATGACAATTAGCTCTGAGGAACTCCAATGTGGACAACAAATAATGGTGAAAAATGACACTGTGATCCTAACTGACCCAATGTTTGCTTGTGTGGCACCCTGAAAATGTAAAAATAACTATTAGCTACTCATTTCACAAAGAACACCGAACAATGGAATCAAACTACGCTCAGTTATCAAGAGACAATATGATTTTTGGTCTTTGAAATGCATGACAATATTCAAGTAGCAGGTGGAGGATGAAAATTTGATGGGCGCACTCGCGCCTGGGGGGAAACCCAGTCTGGACCAACCGAGTTATCTATCCACGCCTTTTCAGCACCTACGCAGTAGGACTGCAGAAATTCAGGGATGGCTGAGCTTAAGTTTTTTCACAAAGTCATTGAAATGGCCACGCAAGGGGTTGTTCCCAGATAGTATCAATGTACCAATCAGATAGAAGGAATTCAAAAATGAGTCGCCGCTTAGTAACAGGGTAGGTCAGCCTGTGATTGGTGACAAAGTAGCGGATAGATATTCTGTGGATGAAAGTCCAGTATTAAACTACAACACAGGGTTGTTTTCTCTAGCTTTTAAGTCAGTGCAACGGTTCGTGACAACCTTCTGGCGTCCAGTCACAGTTGATTAGTACATTTCCAAAAATCACAAAGTAGAGAGCCATGACGATCAGAACAAGCGACAGTCCCAAACACGAATCTATTCTTTGTGGCGGACAATACTATGGCTGCTTTGCGTGCACTGTTCCCAGAACATAATGAAGTACGTCAGTAAGAAGGCTCTACAGATTACCATATTTGAGTAATTTTCACGTTCTGTGTACGCATTTGAAGAGCGAAAATCAACTCTCACCTCTTCATCGTTGAGGGGAATTCTCCAATCTCGATCAATTTTTCGTTAAACACGCTGAATGCTTCAGTACCTAGGTTGATATGAGCTCAAGCTCCGTAGAGATCGAACCAGACGACACACGATTGGGAGTTGCAATCAAAATGGGAAC